AAAATATACCAGGAAGATATCAAATAATCCGCATAAACAACGGGGAACCTACTCCCAACTAAACCCTAGGGATTGTAACTTCCTTGCTACGCGTACGGGTCCTGTGCTTTCAGTAGTACGGGCCCATACTACCTTCCACACCTACCCATATTTATCTCAAGTGTCATCACAACACCCTAATAATATACATATGCATGGCGTGCGCTCAATGCTCACTCCTAGAGTAAGGCTAAATATCTCACAACTGGCCTACTGACCCCGCACAACCCACCCATGAAACTTCCACCAACCCTACAACACTCGTGTATGCTAAACATACATAACGTTGGACCCTATAGACTTTCGAATACCTGATCCTACCCTAATCCCTTAATCAGACAAGAACAGGAAATAAGGTCAAACCAAACATTCTCATGCTATACGATCTTAATTATGTACATCCGTGATGCATACACTAAGCAATTGTAGTAATTATGTCAATTTCATATAAGGAAAAACCCTAGGCTACTAGACATCATATAATCAGGCAATTCTATCATACAATTCCTGAAGATCCCTAACCTAGTACTAGTAATATAAAAGTATTTAGTTTATCACAAATGTTGTGTATAAACAAATATTGCAAGATTAATAATTTACAATCAATCATGTGTTCATATATATTTTTAAACAATCTTAACTTTTCATTTTTATTCATACTGATTTTTATTTGCTAGCATGAATCTTATTGATAATCGTTTAGATATAGCGAATTGTTTATGCAAAAAAAAAAAAAAAAAAAAAAAAAAAAAAAAAAAAAAAAAAAAACAGCTTTAGAAATTAATTTCTAAAAGAAATTATTTCTACTCGTAGTTTGGTACGGGTAATGGCTTGTGTGTGTGTGTGTATATATATATATATATATATATATATATATATATATATATATATATATATTCAAATGTTCCTGACATCTATTGTGTCCGTAAGCACAAATCTGGACCAACAAATGAAATGTAATCAATGGTTATGATACGATGGTCTATGATATTAAAATAGGATAACATATACCATATAATCACATAAATTTCAACATAAGGGTGTTTTGGTCAATTAACCTATATTAAAAAAGAAAATTTCCAGATTTAAGGGATAATTAATACCCTTATTTTTAAAAATCTGATTTTTTAAATTAATTCAAATTTAGTTCTAATATAATTTTTAATAATATCCGATTGCATTATGTTATAATGACATAAAATCAGTCATAAAATAGTAAATATATTTTTGATTTTATTCTTGCAGAATATGGTTATATTCTATATATATATATATATATATATATATATATATATATATATATATATATATATATATATATATATATATATATATATATATATGTTTATAAAATGTTAGTGTTGATAATATGTTCTATAATTCTTAAATCATGTTTATATATATATATATATATATATATATATATATATATATATATATATATATATATATATATACATGATTTAAGAATTATAGAACATATTATCAACACTAACATTTTATAAAGAATACATGTCTTCTTGCACTAATAATATATCAAATAATTACATTTATGATTGTGATACAAAGAACATTCTTGAATAATAACAACATTCTGAAGAATAACAAATGTAATTCTTAAAAAAATAACAAGATTCTTAAAATGTAAGTGTGATCAATATTCGATTCATTCTTCAAGCCTTTACTATCATGTCTTCAACCATTTTTCAATCCATTCCTATCACAAATGCAACAAAAACTAAGAATGGTTAAAAAAAAATACAATATTCTTTAAGAATGAGTTTAGTGAACCTGTTCGTTATGTTCATTATGTGAGAAAATATCATAGCAAATCTATTACAAAATAGGTGAACACATATTCTAAAAGAATCATTAACTCTAAAGTGTAATTACCATTTATTCTGACAGAATATATATATCATTTCAAATTTTTGCAGAATACATACAATATTTTAAATTTGCAATGTGGGTTGTAATTCTGATAAAATAATCGGGGCAACAACATTATCAGTTAATAATAATTTATCCATTCTACAAGAATAATTAAGTAACACACTGGATCATGAATGATTAAAATCCTTATTATTTTTTAATTATATTTAAGCCATTATATAGGAATGTATGCATAAAGAATTACATACAAACTCCAAAGACAAGTAAGCATTACACATCTAAAAACAATTAATATATTGATTAAAAAAAGTTACTACAATATTTATCATCTTACCTTACGAAAGCTTTAGCATTCCAAATCCAAAACTAAACACACAAACGAATAACTTTTCAATATATACTTATGATTTGATAAAATTCTTTTTTTTACACAACATGAGATAATATTTACTAACTATTACAAACCTTGTTTTGTGTGTTTGGGATAATTGACCATACTTTTAATTTTAGCATTCTTAGGGGGTGTTTGGGATTGCTTTTTAGCCTAAAAAGTCATTTTCAACCAAATGACTTTTTGTCTTATAGCTTTTTGTAAAAAAAAAATTTTTAATGTTTTTGGATTATCTTTTGAGAGAGCAAAGGTTAAAAAGCCAAAAGTCACAAAAAGTTACAATTTCTAGTTTTAAAAATCACTCTTTTTTCTTCTTGCCAAAAAGTTATTCTAAAAGGACTTTTATAATTGACAAACATTTTTTCAAGCTTTTAGCTTTTTGAAAAAACTAAAAGTTCAAAAAATCCTTTTGAAAAGTAATCTCAAACACCCTCTTAATTTCTTTAGTTTAATAACTATTATCTAAGAATGTATTGGGGTTTTACTCATCATCCAACTCGTCGACTAAAACACCCAACATTTTCAAATGCTAATTGCATTTAACCAACAAGAAGATAAATAGAATAACATACTTTCATTTTAGAATGTTAATCTGACATAAAGATGCTACTACTGCTATTAATGGTGATAGTGGTGACAGTGGATATGAGGAAGAAGAAAGAAGAGGAGATATGATATTGATAGTTGTGGATGTGATGTTGTATTATCAAATTCGATACCTGCACTTTGGAATGCCTCTTCTAATTGGAAATTTGGAATCCCTGTTCTTCGATTTACAATTAAAAAAAAACGAGAAATCAACACTAAATCAAAGTTAAAAATTTGGCAGATTTCTTGTAGTTCTTACCTTCTTATATACAAAGACCCATCACCTATAGGTGGTATCGGAATTTAGAGGAGATATAAATGATGGCGGCAAGAAGGAGGTAGAAGTGGCCGACGGTGGAGAAGGAGGAAGAAAGTGGGTAGAGTAATCAAACGTTAATCATTATTCCGGGGAAAGATGACAGTCGGTAGCTGTAAGAAAGAAGGAGGTTGCACCGGTGGTAAGGGATTAAGTCGTAAACAGAAGAGATCGGCAATATGCAAATGTGAAGGTAGGGTTTTAAATTGACTATCCTTATTTAAAGGGTATTAAATGTTTTAAATAATTATTAAAATTAAATATGGTAAAGATTATTATTATTATATCCTTTAACAATTTAATAAATATTTAATATTTATTAATTTTTTATTGGAACGTTGAGTTGTTAAAAAAACAGATGAGCCTAACTTTATAGGAAAGAAAAGAAAAATCAACTATGCTATCAAATAACATATCAACTTGTGGTACTTTGTCTCCAAAAAGCAAGTCATAACGTTAGTTCCAAATCACCCAAATTACTACACCAAAAATAGCTTCTGTCACGGATCGATTAACTGTACAACGGCGAGTCTCATGAGCCACACAAAAATACGTGTTTAGGAGGAATCATCAACTCTTACCACGTAAAAACCTTTTGCCTAACATTTTTTTTACAGAGTCACACAGCACCCGAAGACATGGTCAACCTTTTTAACGCTCTTCTAACACAAGACACACATCAACAAATCCAGATCAAGACCTTTTCGGTTTAAGTTCCATCTACCAGTCAACAAAACACGAGAGACAAAGCAATTCCAGGTTTACTATCCGGAAGATTAGTATCATCAATACACCAATTGCTTCAAACATTTATATCTTCAATACAATCATATGCTAGTTTTAAACATTTATATCCAACTTAAAGTCTTCTTAGAAAATATACCAATTGTTCAAGAAATCAACAACTCTACCTTCTTGCTGAAGATTACAATTCAAAATAACGAAACATATTTATTTACCGTATATTATTATATTTGAAATACATATAAAAAAAAAAAAAAAAAAAAACAGGTTAGAAATATCTTTCTATTAAACAACCGATGGGTCTAAAACAAACCAACCAAAAACGAAAAACCGAATAAAAGAAAAAATATTTATATTTTAGATAATGATATGGTGATAGAAATGACAAAAAGGTAAGAAGATTTATTTACGATCACTTTTTTAATGAAGACTAATGTTAGCTATTTAGTTTTTCTAAAGAACACTTTTTTGTGACTTAGGGGTGTTCTATCTACCAACCAAAAAGTGAGATTGAGTCATATAATCTTGTCCAGAAGTGTAAATACTCTTTCATATCTCATTTAGTTATCGTACTTTGCTATACCAACACAAACATTTACACTTGATCATTCAAAGATTTGTCCCATCTTTATAATTATATCCCATCAATGGATGCATTGAAAAGCTCTCAATTTCTTGATCAATTAATTGAACAAATCCACTTTCTAAATGATGTACCATGGCTTCCGCTACCAATTTTTACAAGGTCAAATTGGTAAATTATACAAAACCGACTATACCAAGGCCCAGACATATTTAAATAATTATGAAATCAAAATCACATAAAAAACACAAAATATGCTTCGATGGCATGCAAAACTTATTAATAATGCAAAGAAAATTCTACAACAATTGCTATGCCCGAATAGAGAGAATCAATAATCATCCTCCTCATCAAGAAATACACCAACCACATAATTCAAGAAGCAAAAACAAGAAAGTTCATTTCACCACCAAAAAAAAAAGTTACCATTTTTTGATCGACCTCTTTCAAGCCTTCTTCCTCGCAAGCTTTGTCCATTCAGTGTGAAAAGCTCCTTCACGATCAATCCTTTCATAAGTATGAGCTCCAAACAAGTCCCTTTGAGCTTGAACAAGATTTGCAGGAAGCCTAGCACGCCTATACGTGTCAAAATATGTCAAGCTGGCACACATGCCAGGTGTACTGATTCCGGCGGATATTGCCAGCCCCACCACCCGCCGCCATGCCGCCTGCCTCTGCACCATCTCCTTTGCAAAATCAGGGTCCACCAGCAAGCTTGCAAGATTAGGGTTCCGCTGGTATGCTTTCTTGATTCTGTCCAAGAACACAGCTCTGATAATACACCCTCCTTTCCATATTCTAGCTAATTCTCCAAAATTCAAGTTCCAGTTTTTTTCACTGCTTTTTGCCCTTAAAAGATTCATTCCTTGAGCATAACTACAGATCTTAGAAGCGTATAAAGCTTGCCTCACATCGTCTATCAATCTCTTCTTGTCAATCCCACTTCTCACTGTTCCCACCTCCTCCTTCAGCCCTGCTGCCGCCAGTATCCTGGCTGCATCCTCCCGTTCGTCCTTCAACCCGCTCAGATACCGGCAGTCCAGACTGGCGGCGATGGTGGGGGCGGCAACGGAGAGTTCAGCTGCCTGCTGGACTGTCCATTTACCGGTTCCTTTCATCCCTGTTTTGTCTAGAATTTTGTCCACTAACTCACCTTCACCATGTTCATCTTTCACCTTGAAGATATCAGCTGTGATTTCAATCAAGAAGCTTTCTAATTCGCCTCTGTTCCATTCGTCAAAGATTTCAGCTAATTCGGTGTTGCTTAACCCACCAACGTTTTTCAAAACATCATAAGCTTCAGAAATCAACTGCATATCACCATATTCGATTCCATTATGAACCATTTTAACGAAGTTACCAGACCCGCCTTCTCCAATGTATGTAACACAAGGTCCATCTTCAACCTGAGCAGCAACTTTTTCAACGATATCTTTAATGTTATTATAAGCTTCGTAAGACCCACCTGGCATCAATGACGGCCCATTTCGCGCCCCTTCTTCGCCGCCGGAGACTCCCATTCCGAGATAAAGCAATCCTCTATTTTCCGCTTCGACGATTCGTCGCTCGGTGTTCTCGTACCACTCGTTACCGCCGTCGATGATCGTGTCTCCTGGTTCCATATGAGCCGCCAACGCCTCAATCGTCTGGTCAACCGGCGCGCCTGCCTTAACAAGGATGATGACAGATCGAGGCTTCTGGATCGAGAGAACGAAGTCGCGAGGAGTGTAGTGGCCAGTTAACGGAAGCTGGCCTTCATTATGAGCTCGATCTAGAGTCTCGTCGACTTTCGAGGTAGTCCGGTTGTAAACGGAGATCGGAAACCCTTTCTCTGCGACGTTGAGCGCTAGGTTTTGGCCCATGACAGCAAGTCCGGCGAGGCCGATACGCGAGAGAGCAGCAGCCTCCATTGATGGATTTTGAGAGAACTAGAAATTGTGAAAGGGTTTTGATAAAAATCAGGATTTAGAGATGCAAGCAGATGAAAGCTTATAAATCGAGATTTTTGGGGTTGGTGGATGGCGACGGACTCGTCGAGGGAGTGAAACGTTGTGTGGCTGCACAACCCACGAAAGGCTGTGTCGTTACCTTCTTCTTCGAGAAAATCTATCTTGCTTGCCATCTATCATCCCCCGAGATTATTCAATTATCAAATTCCACCCTAATTTAACATTTTTTAACAAATAAATTGGTGTTTTTTTACTTAGTTGACTTAATGTATAAAAAGCCTTAATTTAAATGTCCTAACAAGTTAAGTTAAGAAATAGATGTCTAAGTCATGATTTCATATTTAGTTTTCCTGATTCGTCATATATCTTTTTCAATAAAAGTTATATTTATATCGAAAATTATGAGTAATGATATATACTTGTATGCTACTATGCTTATATATCGAGTTATTTACTATTATGTATGTAAACATCATGCAAATTTTATATGGTTGTTATTTTTGCTTTTATATTATATAGGTAAATATTAATTGTTTGAATTTAATTTTATTTTAATATATTATAAATTGATGTTCGGTTTAAGTTTCTAAGAATGTTATTTTTTAAACTTTTATAAAAACTTAATGTGTAAATATATTGTTCTAATTTATAATAATTATTAAATAAATAATCATTTGTTATCTCTCAAATTTATACATAAGGTTAGACACATGGTGCATTAAGTCCAAAAAAAACATTATATATTTCAACAACACTATATCTACAGTCTAACCACATAATATCATTATCCATTCATGATTTAATAGGAAAAGAAGAATAGGGCACAAGTCACTAAAGCTTACACACGAGGATATAAGATATAACATAGCATAACATAACAGTTTGCAGTTTGGATTACGTCTGTATGGAGACTATATCGGATAAAATTACAGTTTTTTGTCCCATCAAATTTTATTGTTAACTTTCTCTAATGATCCCTCAAGTTTACAACAAGAGACAGAAACTCAATAAACGACAAAATTTTCTCAATATAAGTTAAAATTCTTGACAAAAAACAGGTATTTCAACTTAGCATTCGATACGAACAGCCCCACTTTCAGAAGATATAAACTTGGGTTTCTTGTTAACTTGATGCAAGCATTGAATAACATCACCAATCTGGAAATCAAAACAATCGCGAAGAACAAGTCCACATTCGTTCCCTTTTTGAACAGTTTCAACATCTTGAGTCTCTCTTTTCAAAGAGATACAACACCCTTCAAACACAACTTCACCACTTCTCAAAAGTCTCATGGTTGATGACCTCATGACTTGACCATCCATGACTCTGCAACCAGCAATCTTGACATCATCTCCTTTGGATTTGCTCCTTCCTTTCAGCTCAAAGATGTTGAGCACTTGCGCTTCACCAGCTACTTCTGTTTCATATGTTCCAGGGGCTTTTTCCACTATGAAGTTCCCAATGTCTTCTAGAAGATGGTAGATCACTCTATGCACTTTGATCTACAACAACATTTACTTGCTTACACATTATACAAACAAAAATAAAAGAGCACGAAAATATAAAGAAAAAAACTTTACGATTTACATACCTTTATATTGGCTTGAGCAGCAGCCAAAGTAACAGAATGTGGTGGGGTCCGCACATTAAACCCAACAATACACGCGCCGGTTGCTTGTGCTAAATCCAAATCCGACTGACAAATGGGCCCCACTCCAACATGAATTACATTCACAAAAACCTGCGGACTATTAAGACTTTTCAACGAATCCGTAACAGCTTGAACTGTTCCCTGAACATCGCCTTTGACGATGATGGGCAGTTCAACTCTTTCTGGAACAGAATCGTTTTCGTTTTCTTCTGAAAACGATTCTGTTCCAGAAAGGGAAAGTTTCTCTTCATTCATTTTCCTAAGCCTATCTTTTTCCATCTTCTTCTTCCTCCCAACACTCAACATCCTCGCCCTTTCTTCCGAATCCACAACAGTAATATCATCACCCGCCATTGGCAACCCTTTCAGCCCTTCAATCTCAACCGGCATAGCTGGCGTCGCCTGATTGGTTGGTTTCCCACTCGTATCCCTAATCGCACGTATCTTCCCCCACTCCGCCCCAACCGCCACATGCTGCCCGACAACCAAAGTCCCCGCTTTCACCAACGCCGTCACCAGCGGGCCCCGCCCCCGGTCCAGCCTGGCTTCCACAACATACGCCTGAGCAGCCCCGTCAACCCGCGCTTTCAAATCCATTAATTCGGCTTGAAGAAGCAGAGCCTCTTCTAACCGATCCAGACCCGTTTTAGTAACCGCGGATACTTCAACCACCTGCACATCCCCACCCATTTCCTCCAACGGCAACCCTTCTGACGCCAGCTGGACTTTGACCCGCTCCGGGTCGGACGCAGGTTTGTCGCATTTATTAATCGCGACGACAATCGGGACGTCTGCTGACCTGGCGTGTGACATGGCTTCGATTGTCTGCGGCATGACACCGTCGTCAGCAGCGACGACTAGGACGACGATGTCGGTGACAGCTGCACCGCGTGCACGCATGGCACTGAAGGCAGCGTGTCCAGGTGTGTCGAGGAAGGTTATGGAAGCGCCAGATGGCATGCTGACAACGAACGCACCTAAATGTTGTGTTATGCCTCCTGCTTCTTTTGCTGCTACTGATGTTTGGCGTAACGCATCTAACAGTGAGGTTTTACCGTGGTCCACGTGGCCCATGACTGTTACCACTGGGGCCCGCGGGAGAACTATTGAACCTTCATATGAATACAGCCTTTTCACGTTTACACCAACTTCCTGTGATTTTAGTTTATTAAAAAAAAAACAATTGAGTGATTATGTGAAGATTAAGTGAAAAAGAAAGAATGAGTTACAATTGCAATTAGTTCAGCTATGTCGATGCCTAACGGGTCGAATTCTGACCCGATTTTTTCGCCCACATTTACAAGGATGTTCTGTAACATGGCTACGGATTGACCACATCTTTGAGCAAGCTCTAAAGTTGTCATGCCTTCGAATATTTCAATGGTTTTATCTGTAGATGATTTGGTGGGCTTTTTGAGTTTAGGAGGGATGTATGGAGCTTCGACTGGTGGTTTTGCATTTTCGGGTCTTTTTTTGAATTTTCCTTTTTTATGTGTTTGTAGACCGACTGTATCATCTCTGTCTCCTCTTCTGCCCAGGAGTTGTGGGGTCGTGTGAAAAAGATGGGATTCTGATTCAAAGAAAATTCAGAATATAGAAACTCAAAAAAAAAAAAAAAAAAAAAAACAAGGGGGTTACATTTACCTCGTATGCATTGAGTTGAAGGTGAAGAAGATTTTAACTCTAGGCCAGAGAATGAACTGGAAAGAGCTGTATGTCTGGATGTTGTTGGAGTCAGAAGCCTTGAAAGACTAGCATGAATGCTCTGAAAGACAGTGGTAGTGATATATTAGGATGGATATAAGTTATAAGTTATAAACATTTAAAACTAGTCAGTTCAGCTTAAACAAAGATCAGCAAAATCAGGTAGTTTGATTGAGTTTAAACAAGGCTTATGAAATTGTTCAGGATAGATGGAGGAAAGAAAGATGTGGGATTTTTAATGGAATTCAACAATCTATATTACGAAACTTCCATAGGATCTGAGATTAATGACCACTTTTAGAGATAACTAGGACATCCTTAAAGAAGAAATAGGAAAGAAACAATTTTCTTTTTGACTTGTCATTTTATCAAACACCTTCTGTGCATGGTTCATACATGTGGACTGGTTCAGATTTTCAATCGATTTTCCTTTTCTTCTTTATCAATTGACTCGATTTTATAATAGTGACACTGATAGCTGCAGGTGTGATGGATCAGAACTTCAGAAGGGAAGCTTTTCAAGTACAAACTTCAAAGGACTATTCATAAACATGGTTTTCCGTGGTTGAAGAAAATAGGGAACTCGTTTTGGTTCAAAATGCCATCTTGGATATCCTTATTACAGCAGAACATAAGTGATAAGGGTTGTTTGTTTTCGATGAAAAGCCAAAATTCATTACGAAGAATAATGATAAGGAACAACTCTCACCTTTTTCCCAAGCTCCCTCCACGCCATTCATAAGTATATATCACAATATCTGCACGCTGTGGAAAAAGGGGATTAAATTTGAACCAAGAGTTTGAAAGATAGCATCAACTATTGTGCTTAAAGTAAAACATCCACATAGTAGTGGAAACCCGCGAGGCTAGATGTAAACTCTGATTAAAAACCTCAAAAACCTAACAAACTTGTGGGATCGGGGCTGAGTTTTAGTGAATGGGGTAGAATCAAAACAGGTAGAAATCCAAGAATAACTTGATATAATTGCACATACGGGCAAAAACGACATTAGATCAGGGCTTGAAAACATCAAAACTGAAAGAGAGAGGAGTAATCGTATTTTAGAAAAGTCAAAACTATAAATATGCATACCTGCAATTGATATGTGTAGGTGTTGACAAGTTTTCAGAGTCGATGGATTCTTTTAGGTGAAGGATTCAGTTATGGCGGTCCCCTGAGGAAGGGCGGAGATTGGTGGTGGGTGATAGGCGGGGGCGCGGGAGGGTGGAACTCGCAAGCGGAGATAGGATTATATATTGAAGATCTTATATTGTTCATAAAATGTGTTAAAAAGTTAGGAAATTCTTATATTATTTGTTGAAGTTTATAAAAATTCTAAATTTTACTTTTTAATATTAAATTTTTTATTATTTAACTTTATGTAATGAGTTTTATTTTTATTTTTTTGTGAAAAATCAACATTTTTTTGTTAATTTGAACATAATATAGTATAATAATGATTTTTCATTTAAAAATCAAAAGTGAAATATTTATAAAATAATAAGACATTTCTAGCAATAAAGCTATAAACATATACGAATTTATCATAAAAATAAATAATGATTCAACTTATAAAAAAAATATGTTAATAATATATACTTTTATTTTATAATTATGTTATATAAAAATATAGTACAACATTAATAAAAGATTGATCATCATTTATCATGTGTGTTACCTCATTAATTATTAAACAAAAAATGTAATTGGTTCTTGTTTTTCCAATTAGAAATGTATTTTACACCAATCAATTTTTAAGATTTGTGTAGAATGTGTTTTATGGACCCTAAACAATTTTTAACGTTGTCACTATTTCATACGGGTGTTATGCGACCATGTGTCGGTTCCCATGCATAAACATCGCCCTCTTGAGTCGTCACAGTAAGGACACGGCGTATAACACGTTACTGACATTCACAGAAAATGAAGAGTTTTTATCTTTTTCTCTCTTCTTTCTCGGTGTAGCATATGTATACCAAGTAATGGTCACGCCTCCTAAGCATGGAGTTGTGATGAGGTGGCCATTTGATTCTTTGTATACATAAATAGTTGTTTGACGAACCAATGAACATAATTAAAATGACCATAAAATCTATAAACATAGAATACAATAAACTATAGAAATATGCAACAAAAGATAAAAACTTTATGAACTTTTTGTTGATATAAAAGTTGTTTACAATAATAATTATTGTATAGAAAATGTGGGTATCATTATTTTTAGCTATGGTTTAAAAGTATATAATTAAGAAAATTAGTTTTTACCAAGTTTATAGGAGTATGTAAATACCTAGAATCGAAATCTTAGAGTAGTATAGTATTGGTTTGGACATTAGCTTCATTTCTAATTTTTTGTGTTTGTTGTTATGCTTTTTTATGTCTTAGATGTTTCTTTTTTAACTTCTAATTGATGTGTAAACTTAAACGCTTAGTATTATAGTATTTTTAGTTTTAATTAGACGCTAAAAGCTGATAAGTTGTAGTTGTTAGCTAGAAGTTCTTGCTTTTATTTATACAAAAGTTTTCGTCAAAAATAGATGTTACACTTAAAGGTGTAAAATTACATTAACCTAAAAGTTAAAAGTTCAAAAAAAAAACTATTTGAAGTGATTTTTGGATCATGAATTTTTGTTTGAAATGAAATCTAAAAGACCATACTGCCAAACAACTTTTTTTTCTGTAATTGGAGCATTTTCTTACAAGCTCTCAAAAATTCATTGTCAAAGAAACTATTAACCTTTTACGCATATGCCTTTTTTTCCCTTTTAACTTCTCTTAGGTTCAACCCTTCGTGTTTTTTCTATATTCATTTCTACATGGATATAAAAAATATTATTTCTACTTACTTATAAGTTAATCATTATAAAACCCTAATAAGCTTATAATTAATTTATAAAATTGAATGAATCATAATAGATATGAAATGTTAAATTACATTTATTATCATTCAGTTAATGTAAACCGTAGAAGTTACAAATTCTATCATCGGACTATTTTTTCACATTTGTAGTGGACTACAATCCATTAGTCCTTTTTATTGTCTAAAGAAAAAATAAGTTGGTTTCAAAGGAGAAACAATCATTTCATCAAATCTACGACAATATGAGGCCCAACCTCACATCACCATAAGCTTTGTTGCCTTGTTAATTTTAGAGATATCTATATGTAACTTCCATATTTAAATAGTTGATGAAGCAAATCTGATGAAACCGATTAATTTTATACTATATATAGCACTCTCAAATCCCGATTCTTAGTCACCAACAGTATAGTTATCTTATCATTAAAAACAAATAACAATTTAGATAAGACAATTAGGTCACTAAAATTCAAATGATTAATTAAAATAAAAATCTTTACAAATCTAAACGTGGAGGAATTAATATTCACCGAAAATCTTGAATGTTAATGGAAAATTTTCAACTTGGATGAGAAAATAAAAAATGCCACAATATAAAGACAAACACCACCACACTATCAAAATTATTTTTCTTGGTTTAGATGGGTTTTAACCTTTTATTTCATCATCACAATGCAAGTTGAAAGATTCAAAAGAGTACATACATGTAATAAGTCAAAAGAATGTATGCATATTGCATAATATAACTCATATGATTATTACAATTCAAACAAATGAACATAGGAAATATATGAAGTGGATCCACTAAGCACCAACCTGAGTGAACAACAGTTTGCGAATCTGCAACAACACACAAATGTTAAAAACAATATCATTTTTTAACAACTTTTTAAGATTAAGATGTACGTAAATACAATAAAATTTACCTTTGGGAGTTTCCTACGGAATGTAACATCCAATCTAGCATCAAGTGTGTTTTCAAACACAATTTTACCATCTCTAGAAGCCAAAACTACATCTCCAGAGCTGAAAATCAAAAAGAAAGTTTAAGAGGTAAGTAAAAAAAATATGTATAGGATATAATGATTTATAAATAAATGGAAGCATACCATGAAAGAACATGAGGATCATCAGATGAAGGAGCAGATGAAAGGTGGATTTGGTCAACAATTATCTCAGGTTTATGGACATGTGCTTTTGCTTGCTGCATACTCTACTCCTCTTTTGCTGAATGAAGAACATATTCCACCTTATGTAAATCCTCCTTCCGACATCTCAACAACACAGATGGTTCTTTCAATCTAAGTAGACCCTGGAACAAAAGTTTTCATCTTTAGCTGAAAATAGTGTGATTTAATAATATGGCGTAAGTAGAAATGTAGAATCATATATGTATGATCAGTACCTGGACAATGAGAGCTTTCAACAATGCTTCATAGTTATGTTGGTGTTTGAAATGGTGATGGCTGACATTTAAAACATCCTTTGATGCATCCTCTCTCATGGCAGTAACTAAGTCATCTTGAGCTTGAAGAACTTTGATTCGAGAAGTGTTGAGTTGCATAGAATACTCACTGCAACAAGGATTATGACAAAGAATTAGACGCAAAATGAAGATATGTATGAACTAAAGAAGATGTTTTGAGAATTTGCAATTTCTTTTGAACTTCAACTTGTTTCTGTTAGCGTTCATACTCTTGTTGGATTTTCTTTCTCTCCGCCTCCACTAATTGCAACTTCTCAATGTTAAATTCCAGAAAATATCGATAAATTTGGATAAGTAATATCAAATAGAGCTAATCCTGATTTTGATTCAAACAAATTGCTTATAATTACTTAATTTGATGTAATTGATCTATTAATCCGATTTATTCCGACAAAAATTACCAATCCGTACTCTACTTATGTTGTTAATGTATAGAGTAGCCCTAAATGAAAGTTAGTGTTGATTTGCAATTTCGAAATGTTTAATTCAACAACAATCAACCAAGATATCCAAATAGAAATTCGCATCTTGAGTTGATACGCTATGATCTCAAATCTACCAAACCCTAAATGAAAGTTAGAATTAAAAACGGATAAGGTAAAACAGTAAAAGTGAGTTGATTTGAACTTTACACAATTGCTTTACACCTTCCCAAGTTCAACTTAACTAGAGAAAAGAAAGGAAATGGGTGGAAATGAGAAGAAAATGAAAAAAAATGATGTTCCCAAGTTTCATTAAAGGAAGGAAGTAGAGAGAAATGGAAGGATCATTTTCCCTCCTATCTTTCCTTCTGATTTGGGAGGATTTGGACGGACAAAAGAAAATGATTAATTTTCCTTCCACTTCTCTTCAAATCGGGAATACAAAAGAAAATTTTGTTTTCCTTTTCTTTCTCTTCTTTTCTCTCGTGACTTTCTTTTCTCTTCTTTTCTTTTCTTTTGATAAACTCGGGAACGGAGTGTTAACTTTATAAATTCGACAAAGGCTAACTACAAACAAAACAAGAAAAGTCGTCTTTCAGTCATGATATCGTTTTACTCGGCTACGTAAACCCAAATATTCACTGCATACTGAAAAACTGAATTAAGTGGACAAATTAACTCGATTTGATTTGATTAAAGCGACTTAGTTTCTTGGCGGATACGGAGATCTCGTTGGCCTTTTCATCCGCTTCTTGACAGATGAATCTAACCATCTCTTCAATCTGCTTGGACACATCGGTGTCATTCATCTTTGGAACTGAATTTGGGAGAAAACAGATTGCTTTGGATCGGTGATATGGATGATTTTGGGAGATTAAAGATCAAATTTGGTATGGTTTAGTATCTAATATTAAAATACATAAGGAGACAGTTCATTGATCTCGAAGTTACATCACACGATCCCAAATTTTGTACACTCACTCTATAAAAAAAATAAATTAAACCAATAAATAATAACCTTGATGGTCTAGCTGTTAGGGAGATGTATTATTGAGTATTTTATTAGTGATTGGAAGTTGTGAAGATCCTTGTAAGTTTTTTGGGTTATCTTTGTATAAATTGGAGGCGTTGGCTTATATAAAACCATTCTATTAGCCTAAAATGTCCATTGTATCATACTCATGTGGCTTCACTTGTTTTTCTTAAACCATGGTGCGATGAACTTCTTCCACTGTGCAATTTCATTACCCTTATCTGATTGAAGCTACACACAGGAGGCACGAGCGACTCCCGATGTTGCAGGTGTGTATCTTTTGCTTTCATATCAGTTTTTATTTATTATTTTATTGTTATTGCCTTGCATCGGTATGAGTAAGTGTATCGTCGAGTTATATTTTCTGCTTATGTTCGAGCTATACGTCATCTACATATTGTGAATCTTAGAGTAGTAGTTCGAGGATGTCTCCTTATATAGTGGGTTCCCAGGACGCAGTAGTTGTAGCAAGTGTGATTGGAACTCGAAAATTGTTACGTTAGTCTTCAAGAGTTGTACTCTTTAGTATTGGTTAGTTTCGGAACACTAACAGTGGCAAACGTTGGTTTTCCAGCAGATTGATCATTGGATGGTAATAAGGATTGGGAATCCTTCATGTCTTGTGTGTAGTAAGATGTTAGTTAAATCAAAGTGGGGGAGAGTCGTTCGGCTATTTAGGAACATAAGTAGATGGGAAACTAGGATGATGTAACACCCCGTTTATAAAATAAATAAATAAATGCATAGAAGCCCTAAAATCAATAATAACTGACCAAGGCGTTAGTTTCGAGGAGTTCAAAGTCATAATTATAGAAGCTGGAGGTTAAAAGTGCAAAATCCAGATTTAATTTGTAAGTATTATAGAAGGTAGGGACTAAATGGTAATTATTAGGGCATAATTTTAAGAGATTTTCGGAGTTAAGGGGTTGTTTGGTAACTAACGGACTCATTGTGAAAAGAATTATGGGAGCGGGGTTTAATTGGTAAATTAAGGATTTAAATTGAAGGAAAAGGAGAACTAGGGGGTAAATGTGTCATTATGGGGAAAAAGATTAGGGTTCGAGTATATAACCCTGAACCTTCCACTGGGAAACGCTAACTCTAAGCAAAAGAAGTAGCCGCCATGCTTGGACCTTCCAGCCGCCACCCCTCTTCACCCTCAACCTCTGGCTGCCGCTGTGTGACATCCCCAAAATCTCGGCCAGAAAAGATCGATTTTCATTTATGCTTTTAAATATTTTCAGAGTAAATCCTTTTGATTTGAAAGAGTTGCGGAATTTGTTCCCAAAAACAAAACATGATAAAACAATGTTTACCGAAGCATTTCATAAAAGAAATGTATTTTCATTATAATCAAAACTCGGGGTGTCATGTTCCGATATAGACCAATAAGCATAAACGATAACATTACAAGTCATTCAACAAATATTTACATATACAGACTTGTAAACAAAACAACTTGATGGTTCATCCATCTTACGCCCTTGCGTCACTTCCTGTAATACAAATAAAACTTAGTGGGTCAGGCTTGGGAGCCTGGTGAGCATATAGGGTTTTCAACCCACAATAAATAATTAAATTAATTATTATCAACCAACAATAACCCAGTTACCCATTCCCGTTATTCTCACTTTACGTCCCTAAAATAACTAACACAAGGGACCTAATCTAAGAATATTTTCATCGGGGTGACAACACATGTTGCGGGGTTTCCTCCGCAATATAAGTCAAATAAGGCAACCATGAGGGGGATGGAATACAGCGAATGAACACCCAAGTTCATTAACACCTACAGGTTATGAGCCTGCTAGCGTTCCACTGGACTATCTAGAAAAGTCTGTGGTCGTCATCTAAATTCCGCTAGATGACTGGATCAAACAACAACGAGGCCTCTCATCTGTTTATTACACACCAACTATCTACCCATGTTCTACCCAACATATTAGTAGATAAAAACATACATTTTATACATATTTTCAAAACCTGTATAGCATGCTTGATCAATACATTTTCCATATAACAGATGAGGCACACACACATAACACATATATTTTATATAGAAATAATCATATCTGTAAGATAGAAGAAAGTGAATATACATTCACACACATAACAACAAAATATACACATATCACGTATCTCGTATAAAATACTTTATAGTTATACGTTAGGAGAAAGTAACAATGCCTTCGCACGTATAAACGACGATAAACTTAATACACTCAAACCATAGTTGTATTATTATTGCGTTTATGAAAGGTAGTATACACTCACTTGATCAGAAGATGATCGGACAGCATTACGACTTGCAGAAGTCGTAATCCTCAGCAGATCTGGAAGATCTCTACGAAAATCGAACTTCTCGCGGGCAGAGCTTCGGCTCGGAAACCGCACTTCTCGGGATCTCGGGACTCGGGAATATTACCGGGGCTTCGGGGTATTTCTGGCACGCAAAACGATGCAAAACGGGAGAGAGAAGAGAAGAAATGAACAAAACTTTCGGCTGCCCTCGCAAGCCTTTTATAGGGGCTGGATCTGCGAATTACGTGGGGCGTAATTTATGTACGCGGGGCGTAACGGGGATAAGGCCGGTGACTCCCCCCCCCCCCCCATGGATAATATCAGCGATTTTTTATTTAAATTAAATACCGAATTTATTAAATAAACTTCAAAAATTCATATCTTCCTCATACGAACTCCGTTTTCGACGCTCTTTATATCCACGCGTAGGTGAGACTACGATCTACAACTTTCGTTTAGACTCCATCGGCTAATTTGTATTTTATTTTTTATTATTTATTTTTAGTAGGCCGGGACAGGAAAACTCCGTTATAAAATCATAACTTCTTCATCCGACGTCCGTTTTCGCCTATCTTTTTATCGTTTTACTACAATTAATGAGATCTTCAATTCTCATTTAGATTGTTTCGGCTAAAAACCGCTCGGTCTCAAATCGAGCATTCGGGCTGCATACTGCTAAGTCGAAACTTCGAAAAATCATAACTTCCTCATACGAAGTCAGATTTGGGCGTTCTTTTATGCACGCTCATGGTTTGACGTACTCTACGACTTTCATTTAGATTGCTAAGGCTAAATATCGCTCTAACATAAATTCACTTTTTACGTCGCGCTGTGTCGTGTCGGTTCTGTCGCGAAACTTCGACAGGTCATAACTTCCTCGTTATAACTCGGATTTCGACATTCTTTATATCTTCGGAAACCTTGTTTCAACTACTACAACATTATCTAAAGATATCAAGTTTATTTTACACTTAAAATTTGACGCTTATTTTTATTCTTAATTAATCAAACCACATAATTAAGCAATTAAGCACAAAACACATAATACTCAAATAATACAATCTTATTATTTCAAAACGGGTTACAAAGGTTAACCTAGACCATTACATTGCTAAAAATGGCAAGCCCGGAAACACAGGCGTTACACGCTGTAAGGTCGAGTTCGATCATCATCGTCGTTGAAGACGAGGTGCCACAAGCCGATGTAGGTTGGTCGGGAGATCAAGGATCGTGCTGCTGTTGTTCGCTCATTGGGTTGCCAACCTCCTCTGTCTCCATTTCTTTCCACTGTTGCACCACCGCTGTTCTTGGCCAATGTCTCGCTGCGTTTTAGTTGCCGCCGCCACTCACAGAACTCTTTCCGATACTCCGGTCAACACCCACCACTCTGAAGGAGGCCGTCGTATACATCTCAGAGTGTGAGTCGTGCGTATGTGTGTGTTCTGCTATGATTCTTGCTCGTTAGGGGTGTTTGTCAGCCGGTAATTAAGAAGAACCACCATGGCCGCCAGTCATGGTGGCTGCCATCATTAGCCGCTGTTGTTCTGCTGGTTGCCACCCCGACGGGGCTTCGTGTGTGTTTTTGTACCTCATCCAATATTGTGCATGTTTCAGTCATCACCGTTTGAGTGTGTGGCTAAAGGGTGGGCTTGAAAACACTAGAAAACCACTATAGCAACCAACCATGGTGGCTGTCGTTGGGAAAGCTCTTCTACCACCACTAACCACCGTGAAAGGTGGTTGGGGGCGTGTTATGGTGTTTGTGCCCATGTGTTGTAATGGTTTGAGGCTACAAAAGTGTTTCTTGGCCGGATACCCAAAGAAAGACCCCACCTACACCACCGTGAGGTGGTGGCTGCCGCCATTCGCCACCACCAACCACCACAAGGTGGCTGTTTGTGCATTTTTTTTGATGTTTTATTTTGAGCTAAGCATTGTAAAATGTAATTAGAGCTTAGTATAATAAAAAGAAAACTCAAACAACCACCGTAGGGTGGTGGCTGCCGCCACCAGCCGCTATGTCGGGTAGCGGTGTGCTTAGTTGGGTTGGGATTGTTTGTTGGATGTTTGGACAATGGACTAAAACCCTAGTGGGCCTATGAAACCCTAATGGGCCCAATGAAGCCCTAATTGACCCAAAATCGCAACATGTGACTAATGCGTGTAATAAACCCTAATTGACCTAAGGAAAACCCTAATGGGCTTAAGGACTTGGTTTTGGGCCTATTGGGCTAAGATGGGATTAGAAACCCTAATTAGGGTTTAGAAAACCCTAATATTAGATTTATGGGCTTGGACTTATCGGGACCCACATTTGGGCCATTAGAATGGAATTGTATAATAAGCCCAATCACACCATATGAGTTATTTAGAAGAGTGATGAACTTAATGGATTAAGTCCTTAATGGGTTAAGTGAGAAAGAATTAACCTTAATCATCATTTTATGAGAAACCCTAATTTCACTTGGGTTTATT